GCGTAAGAAACAGATTTTTGTAACACTAGAATAGTACCACCAGAGGTACAGAAGTCCCAAGTGTGATCATTTCACAGTGTCTGAAGTTCCAGTCTGAAGTTCCAGTCCAAGAGAGCCAAGTGAAACCAGTGCAGAGGATGATTACCAGAAAGATCCAAATACAGAAGAAATTGTTTTATATGCGGGAATGAAAAACTTGTCTTTGTAGTCTATGAAAAAGAAATTTGAAAGCATACATGATCTCTGCCTTAAACAGATGAAACATGGGAAAGGAACTTAAGCACAGTATGCCCAAAATAAAGACAACAGGCCATAATGCAAAGTAGTAGTAATAAAATAATAATAAATGAAAGGAACGGATTTCATTTTTGCTTCAGTGACCAGAAAGGAAACTCTGAAGGAGTTATTCCATATGCACTATTTCACCACTACGAACTTTTAATAGAAGCAGCACCCTTCCAGAAATTTAACATTTAAAAAAAAAAAAAAAAAAGTCTGCTGTGAGGTCACAATAATTTCCAGATTTAAAAATCCACATGGAAAAAATACTGACTGAACACCATCTAGAACAGGTGGAAGGAAAGGGGGGAGTGCTATGGAGAGAGGACTTGCACTACATGAGCTGTGAGAAGAAAGCAAGATCCTCCAGTGTGTTCAGGCGCTGTTAGCACCCTGTCCTTGTTAAAGGTTTTTGATTATTTTTTTTTAACTTGTCACCAGAACACACTAACATATCTGTAGCAGCACCAGGAAAACGCAGAAGAACATAGCAAGAAATACAAGTATATCCAGAGATAGTCCCACTCTAAGCATTTCCTTGTCATAGCACTGTTATGTTACTAATGCTTGGACATTTCATATTCAGGCTCATTTTCTACAATAAGAATCCACCCACTGAGTCTCCCTCTAAACATGAAGGCAGGCTACAGGAAAGAAGTGCATGCCAGGAAACGTCTACCATTGCAACAGCACAGGCAAACACCACGTGCCTCAACGCTGGAGCAAAAGCCTGCTTGGTGTTCTACTGTAATCATGCTCTTCAGAAAAAGCTAGCATGTTGGAAGCAGTTCACTATTAGTTACCATGAAAGCATTTCACAATGGAACAGCTACATTTCTTTCATTAATCCTGGAAATGAGCCGTTTATTTCTTGTTTTAAAGCCCTGGGTTTTGCCAATACTGTTTACTGCTGCAGTCCGAGGACTTTACAGGCCAGCTGCTGCAATACAAGGAACATGGACAGCCCTTTCATGACATTCTCCAGCAGTGGTAACAGGAATATTTAATGCCTTTCCTGTCATCTGACCTTCTGTACAGCTCTGAAGCTGTAACTCTGGGACAACACTGTGCTACTTACCTTCGGATATATAATGCAGGCAAGAAAGGTTGTAAGTTTCCTATACACAGACACATCAAAAATGAATGCACAAATCCATTTCTATCCCACCCTATATATGGATATGCACGAAACCTGTTAAACTGAATGATTTGTACCTTATTAAAAAAAACTTTGCTTGGTGTCAGTACAGCCCTCTTTACAGCTTCCCTTCATCATTTTGTGCTAATGATAAAGCTGTAAAAATAGTAATGGAATTGAACCACAAAGTCCAAAACCAGATGGCAACTCTTCCCAAGTTCAGGGAAGTAAAATCAAAGATTCTTCTTAAAGCCAAGTTCTAACTGAAACAACCCTTTGCTGAAATAACACCATTTGCATGATCTTCACTTCCTGCAAACAAGGGATTTTTTTAATGGTTATTTGAGGGATTTATGTCCAAAAAGCTTTTTACTGAATTTTAAAACAAGGAAGCCAAAAACACCGCTGTAAAATAAAAAAAGGTAGAGATATTGATACAATAGAAAAGGTTTTTTACCATTTGTATTACTGTCTGAAGAGTAAAGTTTACTGTACATATTACAGTATAATTGCTTTAATAAAGAGAAGAGATTTTTAACTTGGAGAAAGACATTACTTAAAGAAGAGAGGGAAGGAAGGAGGTTGAATAAGTCAAGACCACATCTACAGAAAATGATAATTTAAATCTTCTTTAAAGATTGTATCTTAAAAATGGAAATGTGTGACCTTTTCATGTATAAATTCATAGCTGAAAAGAGCATACAATCTATCTTCCTCCCCATTGTAGCTTATTCTTGTATTTTTTTTTCCATTCTGCATTTCATTCATTTTACCTAATGCTAATTATGCCAACTAGTTGAGGACAACATAAAGGCTGATGCAGATACATCACTATAAATTTGTAAAGGACTACCTGAAGCAATGAACCTGAACCCCCAGTTCACACAGATGGAAAAGACTAAAAAAGCAAAGAATTATGTTCAGCATATAAAGCACTGGCTATAAAACAAACTGTGCCACCTATACCAAGTGCTGGTAAACAGAATGATAGAGGCAATGAATGATCGTGAATTCACAAGTATTTACGAAAAAATTATTGCTATGAAGGTCAGAAAGATAACAGAGAAGTGGAGTTCATACGAACTGAAATATCATGCATTTGAATAGTCTCTGCATAAAAATACAAAGTGCATGCATGAACATATATATGAAAGTGTTTACAGGACTGGCAGCTAATTTCCTCCCTACATTAAAAAAAAAAAAAAATCATGCTCAGGTTTTACTCACTCCCCTTTCCCCATTACATAAATCAGAAACTCCCTTCTTTGCAATACTTGTGCTCTGAAGCCGCACACTGTAATGGGCTATCTCTCTGGAGGTACATGATGTGCTATCAGAGTAAGAGCTGCCAGATCACCACATCTCCAACAGTCTTTCACTTCCTCACTGGAAAGTAGATTTGGTTTTTCTCTCCTTTTCCAGACCTTAAAGCAGTCCCTTTATGAAAGAATGAGTGTAAACCTTTTCCATCATACAACAGAGCAGAACAATCATGTATCTTTTATGTGTGTGTGTACATCTATGGGTGGGCAAACAAATTAAGACATCACAACCTGATCTGTAATGTAGTATGTTTTTCACATACCAAGACAAAAATGCAGGGCTCTAGAAGATTATACTTAGTATGTGATGGAATTAATTCTTCTAATTCAAGTCACTTTCTAGACTCCCTGCTTGTCAGTCTACTTTCTGACTTCCGTGTTCATATGAAGAGAGAGAGGATACACACACAAGAGTATGTGGCCTGCAGGTATATCCTGGACTAAAACAAAAGGATTAGCAGCTGAGAAACGTAAGAACTCATGCAACTGTCTGAGGTACACAGGCTCGAGGTCAAACCCACCCAAACCCACTGGAAAGTGCATGTACAAATATGTAAGAAAACGCAGCATGTGTGAACAGTAAGCACAGAACAAATTCAAAATACACTTTGATTCTAAGCAAAAAATCGAGAGGAGGAAGAGTAATGAGAAATCATCATTGAATCTACTATGAATTATTTTACAAGAAGGAAACGTAATCCAGTAATTTAGGCACAAAAGATCTATTTCTAGTGTCCATAAAATTTTCTGTCTTACAAGTATGATGTCTGCTCTAAACCAAAAAAAGCTAGCCAGACACTGTAAATAAGTAGGCATTCATGAACTTCCCAAAGACCACAATTTTGTCACGTCCATCATAAAGAATCTATCGCAAAGCAAAGCTTAAAAACAGATTCAAATATCAGTAGTATTTTAATGTGGCTCAACTGAAGAAGTTACTCTTATTTAGGATATTAGAAGCAAGAGCAAAAGCATTAGCTTTTTCTCTATTATTCTGTTTTTCAAACACTTGAAAGTAGTTACAGAATTCAGTCTTCTTAAATTCATATGTGAAAACAGATAATGAAATTAAGAACAATGCCTTGTCTGAGCATGCCTCAATAAATGATCTTCAAAAAGGAAAAGGAACAGAGCTGCGTGTAAGTAGCGTAATTCCAACAGAAATAATGAATGAGAAAGTACACCCACAAGACACTCCTTTCCTTCCTTGGAAACAGACACGAACTCCTTTCTTGCTTAAAAGACAACCTTGCTACCATCTTTTTACAACTACAATATAATCACTGCCTAATCATTTTTCATAATTGACTCAATTTCCTATCTCAAGTAGACAGGTGCTGACAGCTTGTCTAAAATAAGCTAAGACGATATAAAAGACTGTGCAAGATGCCTGTTACTGGAAGCATGAAAGGAGCAGAATTTCAATGATCCATGAAGCATTTGCTAGACTATATTTACCATCCACAAGATGATGGGCAAAACCAACTTTGTGCTCAGCACAGAACTATTTTTAAAGGATGCTACTTGCCAGGAAGAAAAGCAGGCTTCTGAGTCCCAAGTTCTTGCTTTTTTTTTCCTTTAGAAATACTATGGATATAATATATCCTCAGTCAGGAGATATATAGATATAAACGTAGATATAGATATTCAAGATATAGAAGTAGCTTTCTTAACGTGCATTTATAATCTTCCTTTTTGAAAAAGGACCCAAACTTATCGCTAGCATTTACATGCTTATTGTATTCTGCAACAGTCTTTAAGAATTTACACAGATGACTATCCTTGTCAGGAAACTAAGTCTGTTAGGCAGCGTTCATCCAACCATCTGGACATGTCTCTTCGCAGTAGTTGAAACTCCACAGTTAAGATTTCCTGAACTCTCAAAATGCAGGAGGTGCGTGGAAGTCAAGAAGATACAACATCTGGATTTGCCCCCAGCTGGGGAAACAGACCAACTGACTGTGCATTTGTTAAAGGTTGCCATATGAAACCGTAGACAACAAATGAGGCCACCTCCAGTACATTAACAGTAAAACACTTTTGTAAGTCCCAGCTTCCTCAGAGCCTCTGTGCTTAAGGCATATCTTACATTTATACAGTACCATTTAGCCAGAAAACCATCAGAGCCAAAAAACACTTTTCAGACTTAAGCTGGCAGATAAATCGAGATCATTCCACCCACCATGGAAACAGAACCGTCTGGTTTAACAACGTACATGATTACAAAATAACTGGACAAATGAAGAAGCAAATTGTACACCTAATCTAAAATTATAAATACTTTTTATTTAAATTGCTTGTACAGATAATGCAATTCCTGACACATAAGGCACAGAAGTCAAAGGGACACTGCCAGAAGAATTATTTTAACTGTACTCTTTTCATCTTAGATAAGCTGAAATAGAAACAAATTTAACATCTTATTTAAATTCTCATTATCTGATGAGCTTTGCAGCATGATCACTGTTGGCTTTTTAATTTTCATTCCATTTCAACCACAAAAAGACCTACTTTTATTTTTTTGGCTTCCATTAAAAAAAGCACAATATGGAGTGCTTGCATGGCAAGTTTTGGATGAAGATTCCTAATGACAGAGCAACACCTACCTTTTATTGCTCATTGAAAAAAGTAACTACCAGATATAAAATGGCTTGTGTAGCAGGATCTTTTCAAAATGGAAATGATCTAACTTTTGCGTGAAGGCCTTTTCTGGGCTATGCATGTGCATTTGTTAAGCACTAACTCAGCAGAGACGAAAACATTCCAGCTGCCAAGGCACAAATATCACTTCACACAGCACCTGCTGCAAAGTGTTCTCTAGAACTCTGCTGAGTAAGTGACCTGATGCAATCCTGCAGAGTTTAGGAAATACCACAGGATAGCAGAGTAAAGAGCTACGCTTTTACTCTGAGTATGTATTCAAAAATTATCTCAGTCAACCAAATTCTGAGACAGCTTATTAGTTTTTACAGCGCTACATGTACTCAAGAATTCATGGACACTACTTTTGAGTGACAGCTAGGAAACTTCTGAAAATGAATTATCGAATTATTACTGTAATTTCGTTTAAAAAAAGAATTCCAGGTCACTGTATGTCCTAAACAGTAGCTTTAGGAAACAAGAGATGAAGCCTTTCATGAAGCTTAAAACACTTAGATTTACTATAAAATACATTGTAATACTATAAATTTCAAAACCACCACAAATCCCCAGTTCTTCGTAAGCAGTCAGAAGATAATTGGTTCCATCTAGTGGCTGAACAGCGTTACAGACACTCAGAGAGCTTTCATGTTTCTTAGCTATTCCAATTTGTGGCCCCAACAGGAAGAATGATACCAGCACCAAACACTGCACTTCACAGTGTAACAGTAATAACCTAATACAGAAAGTCTGACAGTACAGAGATCGTGCAAAACTGTTCTAAACAAAAAATGAGCTAAAACAATGACAGCTGTTTTTTATCACAGCATTGTAGTGCCACACAAATATCTTGCTAAATAGCGAAGCCAGGACTCTCCCTACAAAACCGTATTTGCTCAAATGTTTTCTATGTTTTGTACTCTACCAGCTAGAGATGAAGGTATCTGTCTGAGGTACTTGCAGGACACTCTGTACTTTGGATCCTTGCAGACTTTAGTGATGCCTGTTGTCTCAAATACCAGCGCAGTTGTGCTATTATCTCCACAGTGGAGAGAACTCATACTGAAAAAGTGACTTAGCCTCTAATAGGGCAGGGAATTTAACCCAGCTCCCCTAGATACCAATCGTGCCTAACCCACCAAATTATCTTTTCCCTGCTGTGCCAAAATGACACTGCAAAACACTGCACCCCCATTTCTCTCCCCCTTCTGCTGCTGGACTGTCAACCCTATGAAATCCGTGAAAACAAACAGTAATGAACAATTCTGAGCATGGAAAGAGCACTTTGACAACCCACCATACAACACTGAGATCAACAATGCTGTTTCACTTGAGCCTCTTGCACCCATAGGTGCTTTTGTAAATAGATAAAATAAATGGCAGGACCTACCTGTGATTTGTGTTGTCATGGAAACGAGAAGTGAAAAATTCAAAGCTACCATGGAAATATTAACAGAGTAATTGGTGCCTGGCTGCAAATCAAAACAAACTTCTGGAGCCTGCTTGTGTGTGGTAAGGTTGAAGGTCATTTCATGAAAGAACTCCTTCTGATACCAACGCTGGCCTTGCACATGAAACTGCAACCAAACAATCATGGCATGGAAATTGCAATGTTTTAATATATCACTTGCATTCAGTCATGTCATGCTCTAAATTAGAAGAAATAGCAGAAAAACACATCATTGCATACAGACTGCCAAAATTGTTGGCACTGACAGTTATTCAAATGTTCCCAGAATTTGACAGGAATTGCAGTCCCTCTTGATCAGCTCTGACATTGTCCTAGTTCTTTCACTTCTCCTCCTCCTAGTCTATCCTCTTTTTTATTAGTACTGTAATTTCCCCAAATCTTTA